AGGCTTGTAGAACAATGGAATAGAATTGAAGACCCACAAAGGAACTCACATACCCATGGTCATCTAATCTTTGGTAAGGTAGCCAAAAACAAAGGATAGAAGAATGACAGTCTCTTCAACAAATTGTGCTGTCAGAATTGGCTATACATGTGTAGAAACATGAAAACTGAATTTAAATCCTTATATATCACCCTGAACCAGAATCCACTCCAAATGGATCAAAGACCTTGAGGTTCAAACCCAAGTTCTACCAATTTTACCAGCTTCACAGTATATTTGTGTGAGTTTCATGCCACTTCACCTATAGCAACGGTTGGATACAGTCGTATTTTTGCAATGTTTCACATGTCTTCCAAGCTTCAGCTTACTTTACAAGAACTTCCTCTGACCTTTGATCATACATACTCAAATTTTTCAGCTTATGGTCTCCTCTGCACATTGTCAAAATTTGTCTTAGGAAAGGGAGAATTTCATCCTGCTCTCCTCTACCTCTTACTCCTAATCCTCCTTCCCACTTTCTCCCTCCTCCTTCTCTCAAGGACAATATTTTGAGGAAGTTAAATTGGAAAGTTTTTTTTAAAATACATGATTGTATTATTTGTATTAGTTGTGGGGCTTAAACACTTGGTCTGGGCACTGTCCCTATGCTCTTCAGGTCTTCAGCTCAAGGCAAGCACTCTACCACTTCCTGTTTTTTCGTTGATTGGAAATAAGAGTCTCCTGGACTTTCCTGCCTAGACTGCCTTTAAACAGTGATCCTGTAATCTCAACCTCCAGAGTAGCTTTGATTATAGACCTGAGCCACCTGCACACAGCTCCATGATTGTATTTTTATCTGTTGTTGTTGGAAGTGGGTCTTGAACTCAGGGACTGGGTGTTGTCCCTCAGCCAGTACTCTACGACTTGAGCATCAGCTCCACTTCTATTGACTTTAATATAGTAGGTGTATCTATAAAATTCACAATCCTAACATGATTAGAATCAAGATGAGTATTCTAGTTAAAATACTTCTGAAAGTCAATATCTATTCACAATACTTCAAAAGCTATTAGTGTCTAAGGAAGACAGAAATAATGAAAAAATACCATAGCAGTCTGAAACATATGTAAAAAATCAATGACAAGTATCATAATAAGTGGCGAAATATTTTAACATTTTCCCATCACATTGTTTTTAATGTTGAAATATGTACTATAATATCCTCATATACAAAATTATACAGGATGTTCTCCTCCAAATTCTATAAAGCAAGAGGTAAAAGAAGACATTAAATTGAGAAGTGAAGCAGCCACTTATCTTGATTTGCTGATGAAATTTGTACAAATATATTAAAAATTAGTAAAATAAATCATAGGATATAATTATAACTTAGTAGAAGCTATGTCAATATAATGAATAGAAAAAAACCTCTTTTAGAGTAAAAAAGACACAGCTACTCAAAAGTATTTCCACATTCATAAATTGGAGTGCAACATCATTTTAAATTTTCTCTAGTTTAAAACATAGAATCAAAACAACACAAAATTGAAATTCCCTAAAAGAATATTTTAAGTAGAAAATGTGAATATAGAATTTCCATGGCAATTTAAGACACTCAAGATAGCCCAGAAAGTATTAAGCTCAGTTATGCTTTTCAACTTTATTTTCCTTTTTTGTCTTAGAGCATCATGGTTAAGTCAGTGTACATACTGTAGGTGCAAACAGAAAAGTAGTCAAGTTGACAGCTCAAACAGGAAATACACATCTTCAGGCTCATGAAATTGTAAGCCCTCTGAAGAACTCTTTAGTAATAACAATAAAAATGTCAGGAGGCAAGTACTAGTGGCTCATTCCTGTAATCCTAGCTAGTCATGAGGCTAATTGCTGAGGACTGATATTGGAAGCCAGCCTGCATATAGGAAAGTCTATGAGACAATTATATCCAATTAAGCACATAAAAAGCTGTGGATCAAGTGGTAGAATGCTAGCTTTGAACACAGAAAGCTCAAGGAAGAAGCAAGGCATTTCCTTAAGTTCAAGCCCAAGGACCAGAACCAAAATGAAAACAAACCAAAAAGAAAAGGAGGAAGGAACTGGATCTACCAGAGTACAACATACTGCTTTCTAACAAAAGAATTGAGTAGAGAATAGATTGGTGCAATTATTGTTTTGCTGTGCTGTGCAGATTCATCTAATCATTTACTTGTGAAAGCCACCAGTATTTCCTGTAGAGTTTTTGCATTATGAATCCTACTGAACATGGACAGTTCGAAGAGGCTACATTAAAATGTACTGAAACTTGCAGGCAGATGCTAGGGTAGAGGGGAGGAATGGAGGATCACCTGGCAAGATCTACAAGCAGTTGAGAGCATTGGTACTCACCCCTAGGTTTCTAGACAGGAAAGCACCTAGGTAAGAAGACCTCCAGCTTCACAAGCAGATCATCTGGGTCTGAGGGACACCAGAGAATACTCCAGTTCTGTGTTTAGCTTCACTCAATAACATAAGCCAGTCTTGGAATGGCCATAGGCTAATAATTTCTTCTATTCAAAAAGAAACACTACTTACTTGAATTAGCTAATGTCTCAATTTTACAAAAGAACCCCAAATAACACTCTCAAAGTTTCCTCCCTTGTTATGGTTTGTGTGCTTTATTGACTCTGGAGAGGCATTGCCAAGTGTGCACTGCTGCAGAAAGAGAGGTAGAGTACAGGGAATTCTGCCCAGATGATTCTACCAAAATCTTCACGTGATGTTCAGATTCTAGATGTATCTGAGAAGCTGTGATATCAGGTGGAGGCACCAGGAAGGACAGGTGGGACAGCGTAGCCTCTCACCTCTATTTCCCTGGGAGCTTAATGTTATGGCTTGTATCACTGTGAGTGGGTAGCTACTATGCTGTTGACAGCATATTCTTATGGTGAGAGTAAACTCTACCCCAGATGCACTGTCCTTGGTACTTGAAAGGATCAGGATGGTAATTACTTTGCACCATACATGAGGAGTTTAGCAGCTTTCCCTGGTTACTGCTGAAACCTGTTTAAAGAAATATTAAGGCCCTTACTGGCCATAAAAACTCTGTCTCCCAGAGATGTAGACAGAGAGAATAGAGACTGGCTATTTGGATGTCACATCTGGCACCTGGCAGTGGAAACTGAAAAAAAATACCCTCAAGAGGCCTTCCTTGAAGTACCAGAGAGCCCCTGCTGTACTAGGCTGAGTAAATCTCCAGCATTGTTCTTCCTTACCTGGGAACAAGAGCAGCAGGAGCCCCAGAAGCTGAGCAGGGACCTTCATGTCCATGCTGGGTGCTGACTGGGACTGACTCCTGTACAGAATGTGAGCAGACTATGAAGTTTTCAGGGCAGTGGGCTGTGCTCTGGGCACATGCAAATCAGCAGGGGTTGGGCAGATTTGGGCACATCTGCAGGATTGGCTCAACTCAGTGAATCACCACAGGCCTTACATCCACAGGTTTCCTAGACTAGAAAAGAGGAACCTGAATTTGCCTGCAGAGTATGTGGAGATGATTTGATGTTAGAATACACTTTTGTGACTATTTTCAAAATGTATAATGTACAGAAGCAACAGTGGTAATAGAGTATTTCATAAATATATTGAAACATTCTTGCTTCTATTAGATCTTTTCTTCACTGTCAATAATTCTTCCTGGAAAAAAAATCCCTGTGTTTTCTTTATGAAGTACTTATGCGTTGAAACTTTCTTTACTTTCTCTACTATCCTTTTCACATTTCCTTTCCTTGCCTTGCCTTGCCTTTTTTTGTTGTTGTTGGGCTTGAACTCTCAGTCTGGGCACTCTCCCTCAGCTCTTCAGCTCCAGGCAAACACTCTACCACTTGAGCCACAGTGCCACTTCTGGTTATCCGGTGATTTATTGGAGATAAGTGTCTCAAGGGCTTTCCTGCCTGTGCTGGCTTTGAACTCCAAACTCAGATCCAAACCTCCTGAGTATCTAGGATTGCAGGTTTGAGTCACTAATGCATAGAAGGAAAAGAAATCTTAACCTGAGTAATGTATATTCTTTTTTGTATTGTAATATTGTTTTGCATATGATTTGCTTTATCAAGTAATTATTGCAGTTGTTTGTTGCTGTGTAAGATCATGAACAACTTGTGATGTTTCATACAATTTACAGATTCTGATAGTTTCCTGAAAAAGAATTAATGAAGTTTGTTCCTTTGTAAAAAAAAAAAAAAGTTCATATTCCCAGATTGGTAGAAAGAACTTACAATCAAATTTAAGTGAGTTTTAATGCTATCACTTAGGTGGACTGTTTCTGCCAGTTGCGGAAAAGTGACCATCTTTGAGAGTCAGCTATCTCAATCCATCATTATGATTATGATTGTGTGAGGAAACTCAAATCCCTGGTCCTTCTCTGGTTTCTTAGAGAGTTCATCATTAGTTCATCCTTTGATGAGATTTGGTGAACTGGAGAGACTTGTGTAATTCTTCACATAAGCAGGCTGATATGTGATCAGAATAAGGCCTGGAGAATTCCCCTGGAGAGGCAGTTGGGTCAGGTGAGAGCTTCAGCCCCTCACCCTGACTTTTTCCACAGGGTGGAGAATCACAGGATTATGTGCTCAAAAACCCTAGGACAGCCTCACTGAACCAGAGAATGCCACACTCCTCCTTCCAACTTCTTTGATGACCTAGGAGTTAAGAACCTACTGATTAAACTCATTTCCTGTTTTAAAGCAATTCCTTCTTAGAGATTCTTGTCTGGCTTCTGTTTTACTGTGTGAATCAGAAAGGATGACTTTATATGAAAAGAGACATGGCCATCTCTGTGCTTCTGGGACAGAGGAGGAGAGAAGGGACAAAGATTCAGAGGAGCCTTCATATGTCAATGAAAACCTTCGAAAGTTTTCATAGCCTTCCTACATCTGAGAAACTCTATCAGCAGATGGAGTCACCAGGAGCAGCAGCTGGGCAGCCCAGCCTCTCACTTCTGCTTCCCTGGGAGGTTTATGTTATGGCTTGTATCACTGTGGAAGGGTAACTTCTACCCTGTTGACAGTAGTAAGTGGCAAAATCCTCCGGCTGCAGGCTGCTAATTGTGAGAATGAACTCTGTCCCAGATTGACTCCCACTGAACCTTGATGGAATTCCAGAGGCTAAATTCTTGGCATAATAGATCAGAAGCCTTGGAGCATTCCCTGGTTTCTGCTGATACCAGTATAAATCATCGCTAATGCCTTGACTTGCACGGCAAGTGATGGAGACTCTGTCTCCTGGAGATGCAGACAGGAAGGATGGAGACTGGGTCATCTGGATGTCACATCTGAAACCTGGCATTGGAAAAATAAACACAAGTGTCCACACTGTTAGTCATGTTATAGGAGGCCTTCTATGAAGACCCAGGCAGCACTGAACACAAATGATGGGAGGAATGCTGTCCTTCCTTACCTGGGAGCCAGAGCAGCAGGAGCCCCAGGAGCTGAGCAGGGGTCATCATGTCCATGCTGTGTGCTGATGGGACAGACTGCTGCACAGGGTATGAGCAGCCTATAATGAAGTCATTGGGGCAGTAGGCAGTGCTTTGAGCATATGCAAATGAGAAAAGCTGGGTAAAGCTGGGAATAGCTATAGGATCAGCTCAACTCACGAAATCATCATATTTCCACCGTGTCCACATAGTTTAGCCCATAGAATGTGTTTCCCCATACAGCAGATGCTGTGATGAGTCTACTGTCCTTTGAATAGATCTCTTGGTGCAATCAGGGATGATGACTATTTCTCATGAGTTTTTCAATCTTTATATCTAACACTTGAAAGGGAGAAGAGTAAAGCAATAATTGAGTGCTTCATATTCAGATCATGCAGAGAAGTGAAGTTATGGAAAGAATAGAATTTGTGGATATTTTTAACTGGTTAAATATCTCTATGCATTGAAGCCTTATCACTGACATAACAAGAGATATATAAGCTCTTATGTTTTCAAGCAATTCAAGGTTAAGATTCTTCTAAAACACACATATACAAAAAGTAACATGTGATTCTTTACAAGAGAAGGTATAAAGGCTGAGTCCAATTCTTCCTTATTGACTTTACTGCATAAAGGAAAATTTTGGCTACATAGAAAAAATTTCAATACAAAGAAAAACAACTATATCAAGGGTTTTAGTAAACATGTCCTGTGGTTAGATGACTAGAGGTCTGAAGCAAAACATGTTGCCACCAGAAAAGTCCAAAATTTCTTAAGTTTTTGTGATTTGCCACGTCACCAGGTACAATTTTTACTTGGACTTACAGTTTCATATTATCCAAGAACTACAGCACATTCATATATCCATTGCCCTCTGATCATTCCACATCAAATTCAGGGCAAATCACTTACTTTCAAACACTCTAGTCCTCATGTATCTCTTTCTTGTTCCACGTGTCCAAATTTCTGTTACTATCTGGAGATTGGAGAGGCTCATCCACACTCTCTACACCCAGCAGGTCAGGATTGGGCAACTTCAGGGGTGAAGAAAAGATAGATGTTGTAATGATTTAGTAGCATTGTGTCTCATTTTAAATATCAGTTTTTTTCCCAATTGATATAGGTGTGAGGGTGGGAGGCACAGATATCTGTGTGACATTCCTGAAGTGGTTTGGATAGAAGATAGGCCTTCTGTATGACAATGAAGGCAAATTTGTAGTTATTTCAATGAGACTGCTAAATTTGGCAATTTGGAAAATGAGGGCTATTATTTTAATGCTAACGACTTTCACTTATTGTAATTTGGAATCAAGTTGAAGACAGGACCAAAAACAATGTTACACTACCTCATTGGTACTGTGCTTTTGTTCTGGCCCAGGGAAAGAGAAAAGGATCAGATCGTAGAGCGGTTAAGATCTATGTGACCTAAGTGACCATTAAATGTTTTTTCAACTGCTACTCAGCCTTACTTGTCTTACTTGTGGTGTTTGTAGGAACTTGTTTCTGGACCTGATGTTTCTCTGAATAACATCTTAATGGCCAAATAAATTCTCAAGGGCTTTCCAAAGAAAGCCTTGAAATCCCAGTGGTGTTTGTAGACCTCCACGGGCTGTATAATGCAAAACAAATGATAGTTACAGCGGTCTCAGTTCTATCTGGATTTCAACATAAATCAATTTATAATCTCTGGGGTTCAGGGTGTTGTCTGGGTAGTGGTCATGGAGGAAGGGGATTATTGTACCCCTTCCCAAACCAAAATAATCCTTGATTTTAAAAGTCAGTGAATATTTGTAAAAAAAAAAATCCAAACTCATTCTTCCATATTATTATGGACTCAAAGTCAGAAGTTGAAAGTGCATTGCCAGACCAACTAAAGTAAAAGCATGCTACCCTGCCTGAAAAACAAAAGCCGATGAGGAATGACTCAAGTGACAGAGTAATTGTGTAGCAGACAGCAAATTTTGAGTTTCAGTCTCCATAGCACCCAAAATAAAATTCTGCATGTTGTCAATCAATTTGGCAAATAGGCAATATCATATCACTGCCACAGTCTGCACATAATTCCAGTTTCCAGTTTGCGTTTTACAAAGACTTTTTTTTTTGGTGGGGGTCTGGTAGTGGGGCCTGAACTCTGGGCCTGGACACTGTCCCTCAGCCCTTCAACTCAATGCTAGTGCTCTTCCACTTGAGCCATAGTGCCACTTCTGGCTTTTTTCTTTTTGCTTATGTGGTGCTGAGTAATCAAACCCAGGGCCTCATGCATGCAAGGCAAGCGCTCTACCACTGAGCCACCTTCCCAGCCCCTTTACAAAGATTTTATGCATTTAAAATAGTCTTGTTCTTTTTTATGTAAAATGATAATTCATCAGAAGAAGTAATAGAGGGGAGGCAGCACACTGCATAGTTCTTCCAATGTGACTCACTCCCACGCTCACCAGCTTTCAGTGCTGTAGGTTTCTTTGCTATTCCATAATAAATGGGCTATAATTTTTCTTAATTTGGAATTGTTCCTATTGTGTCATGTCTATCAATTCTGATGATTCTAGTTATCACGATGAAAGTCTGACTTGTTAGACCAGATCTGTTCACGTTAGCAAACTTCTCTATACACTCTGCTTATTCTCTCCATTCACCATACATGCCTAGGCATTTTCCTTGTTTAGGTTTTTTGGAGTTTATTTGTTTGTTCCTGTGTACTAGTAAGGAGATGACCCAGGCCCCAACTTTGCTGTAGGCATCTCTAGGTGTGAGTTTGGTCTCTTGTGCTTTGATGTTATCAGGCTATGAAGAATCCAGCCAGAATCTTGTTGCAGGGAGAATGTAAAGTTCTATACTATTTTTAGCTGGTTTATCAGGCAAATGCTGGTATCTTGGTATTCAATATATTTGTGCTCACTTCTACCAGACATTTTGTGTCTCACTGTCATCTTGAAGCAAGAGAGGAGACCTCTGCCTGTATACCAAAATGAACACCATATCAGGAATGAGCACTCTCAGAATTTTCTCATAGCTGATGAGAGGAGAGTTGCATGCATACCTCATCCTCTCATGTTACAGAGAATAACCTAAAGGTATTTTGCACGTTTCCATGGGACATTGAGGTTCAGTCATCTTCAACAACAGGAAGTGTTTAGCTTGTTGTATGTTCCTTACTGTCCATTTCCCCTTCCCTACGTTTCTTTCTCCCTTCGCATTGCTTCCTAAACATCCTAAATTGTGCGGACCCTAGAACCCCTTGGGAACTCTGACTGTGTACAGAAAGTATGACTGAGTTGTGTGAATGGAGAAAGCCTGATGCTAGTAGAAACTGCTGGCCTGTGTGTTGGCTTAATCCTGTTTATAGGGGATTCTAAGTGCTTTTATGATTACACAGCTGTCCTATAGAAAAACAGAATGAGTGTTTGCTATGTAGTGAGTTTATACTCTACTATTTCTGATACAGATATGGGCCAATGTTGAGGCTAATTCAGTTTTTTAAATCTATCTACCTATCTATCTATCTATCTATCTATCTATCTCTATCCATCATTGTATACTTCTTAATCCAAAAAAGCATCAGATACAATTCAGAACTCAGTTGATAATATAGGGATATTATGGAAGCTCATTCTTTGGATGTGAGACACTCAGAAGTTTTGCTTATGTATCACCAGATCTGCTTGAAATGTGAGAACAAAGATCCTCTCTGCTATTTTCAAGCCTAGTTTTCTGTTAAGATTTTTCCTTTCTTCCTTTTTTAAAAATTTTATTTTACTATAAAGATGCTGTGTATGAGAAAGGTAATGAGTATATTTTTTTGAAGATTGTTATCCCTTCTTTTGTTTTTTTTTTCCTACTATTACTTCCGTCTCTCACCTCCCCTACTTCTCCCTCCCCCTGCCTTTCTTTTTCTTTTTTATTTATTTATTTTTTTACAGGGCTGAGGCCCGAACCCAGGGCCTTGCGCATGCCAGGTGAGCGCCCTTCTGCTGGGCTAAACCCCCAGCCGTCCTGTCTTTCTTTTTAAACAGGGCCTACAGCCTTTTGCTATTTGTGAGGGACTAGAAAATGGAATGGTTTGTATCCTATGAATTCAAAATTTGTCCCTCTATTAAGGTTTGCTGCTTGTATACTTGGCCTTGTTCTTCCATTGTTTCTTTGCCATTTGTGACTTGTCAGCCTTTTAAGGCTATTTCCTGAAACAAAACTGATGTTGTCTTTGAAACACTTGACCAAAAATTATCACAGTTACTACTATTTGGGTACTAGTTTCTAAGACTCTGAGAAGCTGAGAAAAGTAGGTGTATTTGGAAATTTCTGTTGTAGTTTACATGAGAATGGGAAGTGCTCATTCTATTTTGGAGCTCTCTAGGGAAACTGACTTCTTGTTGTGGTCCTGAATATTGTAGGTGACTGTTTTCCCAGAAGCACTGTGAGATTATCAATAATGGCTTCTGCTGTTTGAGTTCATGATTTTTGTTTGTTTTTGGTGAGGTAACTTTTTGGTTTTGTCTGCTTAAAATAATCTTCTGTTTTGTTAAGCTTGTACTTGTTTGGAGTTTTTTTTTTTTTAAGAATCTTTTCATTTTTTGCTGCTAAGATAATTTGTCATTAACAATATTTTAGTGACTTGTTTTAGCCACTCCTAAATGAAAAACAGAAATAAAAGTAAGTAGCTGAGATTATACTTTGAGATTAAGAAAACAAACCAAAAATAAAAATTAACAAAAAACAAATTATTGCTCTATAAAAATTTGTTTTAGGCCTTATTTGGCTTGCAAATATTAAAGTTTGATCATTTAAACAAGGGACCTTTGCATGTTTTAGGATTTCATAAATATTTAGCTTAAATGAATGTATATTTTTAGTAATCTTCCATTACCACATTGCTCTTTCCTGTACCGTATCTCAAATGCAGCGTCCTTCCATTGACAAAGAAATAACTTTAGTCTTCCCTCTATTTGTCAGGTGGTTTAAATTTTATAGGTAATCAAAAAGCCTGTGTTCAAAGTGAAGTTATTAAAAAAGATAATTTATTAATAATACATTTAATGTAAAAGTATTTACAAGTAAATCGAAATACTAAGGTAGTTTCCAGGTGTTATCTTAAGTATTCTTGGTTTTATAAATTCTATGAAAAGGCTCTTATGTTTCTAGAGTCCATTCTGTTACTTTTGTCTTTCCTTTTTCCCTCTTCCTTCCTTGCTTCTTTTTTCCTTTCTTTCTGATTTGTTTCTTTCTTTTTTGACATTATATTACTATGACTTCCAGGCTATCCTTGATCATGTGACTTTCTCTGTAAAAATTGTACCTGCAATATTAGAGTGACTCATGAACTAGTAAAACGAAGCTGAGAGTTGCTGAGAGAAGCTGGTGAACAGGAATACAGAAAGCATGATAGAAAGAGGACATGGCCTCTGTAAGGTGAGGATAGACTATATTAATTCTGATTGAATTGAGAATCTAGATTCCAGAATGATATGAACAGAGGCATACCTGAATAACATGATGTAGGAATACTGTCTCATATTTCTTTGGACTTTGAGCAAGTACAGTGGCCTTTTAATATAAAGTCAAAATTCAAATTAATATAGGAATATCAGTCTACATATGGAAGAGAGATAGATTTTTGTCTATTCAGATATTTTTATTTTTGACATGCTTCCAGCTACTAGTGTAAATAATTAATTAATTAAATTAACACCAATATGTTTTAAATTCTTGATGTTGTAAACAGATGTTCTATTATTTGAGACATATTTTCCATCCTATTTGTTTAAGTGATTTTTCAGTTATTGGGTCTCACAAAATTTCCCAGCCCAGTCTCAGGCTACACACTTCCTCTTATTCTTCCCCCATATACTAGAATCCAGGCATGTGCCATCATGTCTTTTATTCCAGAAATATATCTTGTGACCTTTCTGGGATATCATGAAACTCTGGTCCTCCTAATTTTGTCCTCCACATAGCTGAGATTATGATTGCAGGTAAGCTCAATCACACTGAAAGTATTTCTTAAAATTCAGAAGTATTTTCTTGGCAAGAACCTTGTTCATCTAGAAAAAAAAAGTGTAAAGTATGAAATTCCTAAGTGGTTCTTAGCTAAGAAGGAAAACACCAAATGATCCACCTGATTTTGCTGTATACATGCACAGAAAGACAGACAGACAGACACACACACACAAACTCACTCCAGTTGTTGAATTTCTTTCTTATAGTTTGACCACATTTTACAAACAAATCTAGAAAGTGTTGATTGAAGTGAACAGTGGAAGAGACACATCTGAGACAGTGAACCTCAGTGAGCAGCTGACTGAAGAATATTTTGTTTGAGCTAGAGCACTGTGAGAGGAAACTTGTTATTCTCCTGACCATAGCAATTTACAGCATCTTCAGCCTCCACTGGATTTATGGTGAAGTTGAAATCTGTCTCAGACCCACTGCCACTGAACTGGTTTTGGTACTCACTTTCCCTGTTGGATCCTGGATAGGTCAGAAGTTTTGGAGGCTGTCCTGGTTTCTGTTGGTACCAATATATGAAACTCTACAAAATTTATTATCAGCATTCTCCCTGGCTCTGCAGGTGACAGTGGCCATGTCTTGAAGAGACAGGGCCAGAGATGCAGGAGTTGGAGTCAGTACAATGTCTCCAGTGGAGCATGGAATGGAAATCATATGTCAAGAATGGCTACAGATGTACTGAGACCAAACCCAAAGTAGGCATATTGCATTAGTGATAGCTATAACTTATCAGGGCAGACACTTTAATAACAGAAAATTGAGAAACAAAGATTTGAATCTATCAGTTTGAGAACTCTTCATATCAGAGAGCAGCAATGGGGGTGATGAGTGTGAGTAACCCTTTTTGCCAACCTCATCTGGAGCCCAGAGCAGAACAGCCACACCAAGGAAGCCTGTGATCCCATGTCCAACATCAAGATTTGACAATGCTTTTCAGGTCTCAGAAACTGCCTCTAAAGAAGCTTTGAGCAACCTGGACTGTTATGTAATGACACAATGTGCAAATTAATTCAGAAAGGCTTGCCTTGATGTTTAAAGGAGACATAGGTTTTCCTTCACTCAATGGGAGTTGTGGCTAGACAAGACACTACAAGTTGTAGCTTGCGTCTTTCCAGGAACTTGTGAATTTCTCTGGTGAAATTTTATTTCTACCTAAGATGCCTTGTGGGAGACCATGCCATGGTTGCCCTTCCACACATATGCCATTCAGAAATGCTTTGTATTCCCCAAATTGAAGTTGTCACAACATCTCAAACAGCAGTACATTCCAAAAGGAAGTAAGTAGAATTTATAGAATAGTCAAATCACTCAGCTGGAGGGAGGAGAGGGAGATTGTCTTCCTGAATAAATCTTCTGAACAGCATGTCTACAAATGCCATACAGAGCTGGAAAGGTTTGAAGGTGCGATTGTGCTACAGTAGTCAATGAGCTGGTGTTACCAATGAACAAGGAAGCCTTTCTGGGTTGCCATGTTATTCACACAGTTAGACCAGCCTGGGTTACACAATGAGACAGGTAGGTTCCCAATCTGCATGAACTTACTTTACCTTCCTCCGGGTAAAGCAGACTTTCCTATCTGTTCAGATTTGAAACAAGATGTATTTTGCCCCTAGTTTTCCAATGATAGTGGAACCATTGCTGTGGTTCTTAATTCGAGTGAGAAAAAATCAGATCTATTCTTTCAGCCAGGTCTTTGTTCTTACCAATGGAGGAATTAACTGAGGAACCTCAGGTTCTCCTATAGATCGACAATATGATAAAAAAAAAAACATTGGATAGTGTTATATAATCAAGGAGATTTATTTTAGACCAGGGAGTTAATGAAAAGTTATATCTAGAAATATGATTTGGAGGTTAAAGGATACAATAAATTCACCAAGAATCAATTATGCATTATACTTGTGGACAATAGTATTTGTCTGTTTAATGGGAAATATGTAGGTTACTTAATAAATTCATGGGAAATATTTCATTCAACTACAAAAGTTATGGAGTATCTCATTGTCAGGTGTTTGTGACTCTAGAATGAATGTATTTCTAGCTATTCATGTGGCTGCAATCTGAGGAGATATGTTTGAAGCCAGACCCAAAAGGAACGTGAGAGTCTCCAATAAACTGCCAAAAGCCAGAAGTGGAGCTGTGACTCCCAAGAAAGAATGCTAGCTTTAGCATAAAACTTAGGGACAGAACAAAGGCTCTTGTTTATAGCCATTCTAACTGGGGTGAGGTGGTATCTCAGTGTTGTTTTACTTTGAATTTTTTTATGGCTAGAGAAGTTGAACATTTCTTCATGTGTATATGGGCCATCCTTCTTTCCTCTTCAGAAAAGTTTCTTTGTAAGTCTTTACCCCACTTATTTATTGGGCAGTTGTTTCTTTGAGGATTTGTTGCTGTTGGATTTAATTTTTTGAGTTCCAATTATATTTTAAATACGAGACCCTTGTCCCTTGTATGGCTAGTGAAGATCTTCTCCCAATCTGTGTGCTTTCTATTGATCTTGCTAGCTATGTCCTTTGCTATGCAGAAGCTCTGCAATTTCATGCAATCCCATTTGTCAAACTTTTTTTTTTTTTATTTGTTTGGCCTGTGCCAAGGAGACCTAGGGTTTCTCCTATTGTGTCCTGTAATGTTTTCAGAGTGTCTGCTATGACTCTGAGGTCTTTGATCCATTTGGAGTTGATTCTGGTACAGGGTAATATATAAGGATCTAGCTTTATTTTTCCACAACCATTTTTGCTAGCACCATTTACTGAATAGGATGTCTTTATTCCATTGTATTTTTTTAGATCTCTTATCAAAGATTACATGGCTACAAGTCTGTGGGTTAATTTCTGGATTTTCATTCTATCCTATTGGTCCTCAGGTCTTTTCTTGAAACCAAAGTCCCTTCAGTAACCAAACTGTTTTGATTACTATGGCTTTTTAGTAGAGTTTAAATTTGGTATTGATATTCCTCCATCACTGTTCTTTCTGTTAAGTGTCGTTTTTGCTTTTCTGGGTCATGGCTAAAATCAAGAACTCCAATAACAATAGATGCTTTAGGGGATGTGGACAGAACGGTACCCTACTGCATTGTTGGTGGGAGTGTAAACTTGTTCAACCACTTTGGAAAGTAGTGTGGATCTTCCTCAAAAGACTCCACAGAGAGCTCCCCTATGACCCTGCAATCCCACTTTTGGGCATTTACCAAATGATCACAAACAAAACCATACTAAATCTACCAGCATAACTATGTTTACCGCAGCATTATTTCCATAACTAAGATATGGAACCAACACAAATGCCCCTCAGTAGATGAATGGATCAAAAGAATTTGGTATGTATACTCAATGGAATTCTATGCTTCCAACAGAAAGGATGACATTGCCCCACTTGTTAGGAAATGAAAAGACTTCAAAAAATTATACTAAGTGAAGTAAGCCAGGCACAAATATACATAGGTCCCATGGTTTCCCTTATTTGCAATTACTAGTATATGTCTGAGACAAGCAGAAAAGATCAGATAAGATGATAAGCAACATAACCCCCAAGATATGGACACAAGTAGTTTTTTCTTTCTTGCTATTGCTTCTCACATATTTATAAGGTACCCTCTGGATTTTTTTGGTGCTTTGTATGTCCATCCCCCATGTTATAACCTGTTTTCACTATATTTGATATTTGTATAATTTGGGGATGGGAAGAGATAAAACAAAATTTTAAAGCAAGTATACAGGTTGGCTCATTTCAACAATATGATGTACAAGATGCTATGTTGACAAGCGAACTTTACAATTTAGGCGGGGGGGGGTGGTGGGGAGGTGGGTTTGGAGTGTGTGCGGGAGTGTAGTTGAGGTGATGGGAGAGAAGGGATGGTAGGAGAAAAACAAAGGAGGAGACAACAATGCTTGATCAGAAATGTTCTCATTATCCTGCTCATGTAACTCTAACCCCTTCTTTGTACAGTATTCTCACAATAAAAAACTTATTTTTAATAAAATTACCTGTAATACAATGAAAATGAATACACATCACCAAGAAACCTGTGGGACATGGCAAAAGCAGTCTTGAGAGGCAAATTTATTGCTCTCAGTGCACACATAAAAAAATTAGAGAGAAACCAAGTAATTAATCTCATGTTGCAATTAAAACTACTAGAAAAGCATGGAAAAATTGAACCTAAATTTACAAGATGGAGCAAGATAACCAAATTATAGCTGAAATTAACAAGACAGAGATGAAGATAACTGCAAATAAAATTAATAAAACAAAAAGCTGTCATTGTTCTGATGATGGCATAGAATTCCATTATATATATATATATATATATATATATATATATATATATATATATATATATATATATATCACATTTTCTTGATCCATTCATCTATTAAGAGATATCTGGGTTGGTTCCAAGTCTTAGCTATTGGAAATAATGCTGCAATAAACGTAGTTCTGCTGGTAGCTATGGCCTTGTTTGTGATTGTTTGGATAAATGTCCAAAAGTGGGATTGCTGGGTCATAGGGGTTTTTATGCCTCCACCAGAAAGAATGACATCGACCAATTTGTTAAGAAATGGAAAGAATTTTATCAAGTGAAGTAAGCCAGGCCCAAAAAAACATAGGTTCCATGGTTTCCATTATTTGCAATAACTAGTACATGTGTAGGACAAGCAGAAAAGGTCAAAAGCTATGTACATAAAATCATATGAATTGATGTTAAGTGAAATGAACCCCAAGATATGGACACATTTTTTTTCTTTCTTGCGCATGTACCAAGTGATTTTTCTGTTTCTTTCTATGTTCCTCTCCCATATTATAACCCTTGGTTTTTCCTGTATTTGATATGGGGACCCTGCATATTGTGTATACACTTCTGTAATTTGGGGAGGCGAAGGGAAAAAACAAAATACTTAAATAAGTATACAGGTTAACACATTGTCACAATGAGATGAACAAGACACTATCTTGAAAACGAACTGTACAACTTTGGTGGGGGGAAGGAGGGTAGTAGTGGAAGTATGAGGGAAGGGATGGTAGGGAAAAAAGAAAGGAGGAAGCAGCAATGCTCAGTAGGAAATGTACTCATTACCTTGCTCACGTAATAGTAACCCTCAGTACAGTATTTCTATAAAGAAAAAGGTACCAAAAAACCTGGTGTTTTAAAACAAATCAATAAGTTTGATCGACATCTGGAGAGATCATCTAAAAAAAGATGAGAGGAAACCCAAATCAATATAATCAGGGATTCCATGGGAAAAATTAGAACAAATACCCAAACATCCAAATGATTATAAAAAATTATTTGAAGAATCTATACTCACTAAGGAAAGAAAACTTAGCATTAATGGATGAATATTTAGAAAAAAACAAATTGCCCAAACTGAACCAAGAAGAAATAATCAATTAAACATGCCAATATCTTACAATGAGATAGAGGAAGCAATCAGAAATCTCCCAAAAAGGGAAAGCCCAGGACCAGATGGACTCACTATGAAATTCTATAAGACCTTTAAAGAGGAACTAGTACCCATAC